TCATCGCCTCCTTTGTCCTGGCCCCTTGCCCGTGTCACACAGTTGCATCCTGGCACAGATGGACAAGTCAGGGTTGTTGATCTGAAGACTCAACATGGTTACCTTACTAGACCAGTTGTTAAAGTGTTCCCTCTCCCTCAAAACTAAGCCATACAACTTGGAAGGACCTGTAAATAGCTGTAAATAATATTCAGAATATTCTTCAGTGCTCCGTTTTTTACACAATTTGGTGTTCATTGTTATAAAACTATCGTTTTATGGAGGCCGGTATGTTCAGTAAAGGCCAGCTGACCATATGAGCATATTAAAATAATCCCCACATGTCAACAACAATACAATAATAAAATTTTAAAAATGTAAACATTCCAAAAAAAAACATTCTGGTTCAAGAAGTGCAACTTTTCTCTCTTGTAATATCGTTTCTTTGTGTAACATAATTCATTTCTCTCTCCTTTTATTTTGACTTATTTCATTTACCTTTTCCTTTTGTGTTCATTAAATAAACCTTTTTTAATTTCACTCTAAATTCTGTGTACCTACTGTGAGAACATTTGGACATTAATGAAACATATTATCTTCTCAACTAGAGCCAGCATTCGACCAGATCTTCTTTCAAGACCTTAACGTCATGAAGTGGTAACATAACTATAGTTCAGAATTAAAAATTATACCAAAAGTCCAATATTTTCTGTTGTCAAAATTAAATTAATAACCCATATACAGTCCACTTTATTATTTCTACAATAACCTTTTGATTACGCTACAGACATTCCAGTGGACGCTATTTCACGATCACACAGTGTTAGCAAATGAGGGTCGATAGATGAGGAGGGAAGAATGCGCCATTGTCCCATCATCGTCCAATTTACATCGTACTTAATTAGGCGGATGGTGTTCAACTCAAAGAAAAAAACTCAAGGGGACTGGCGGAATCATTAACGAAGACCTTACAAATCGCATTCAGGATATATACAGAAGAGATGTGTGGCGGTATAGCAACAGGAACGTCTGGACCCTGGACGGTAGAGTCCTGTGGACAGACAAATGTGCTACGAAAGTAGTGACGAGATTGGCAGATCTACCAACTGACCTACAAAACGACACGATCAAGATGAGAACTAGTTCTGTTTAATTTATTTTTCATGCACAAAAATTATTAATTCTTGTTGTGTTTTGTTAATACCAATATATTAAATGATTTTTAATTTAATTAATTTATTGCTAGCAAGAGGGGTGCTAAAGAGCATGATTAATCAGCAGTTTCCCCACTCTTACTTCGTATGAAGAAGGAATCAGTCACGGGTGTGTCTCTTTCAAAGATAGTATGGGGTTCTGGATAGTCGCAAAATATAAAATGCAATGAAACGAAAAAATTATGTATTTCAAACTTAAGATTTTGGCTATACTACTTAACCGAATTTGGATATTTATATACTCATTTTACGCAGAATTTTATCCTCTTTGATATTAAAAGGGCGTGAAGGTATTAAAACCATTTCCAGCTTGCTGGGAATTAATTCCTCGCAAAATTCTTATTTGACTGGCCTATATGTCAAAAGTGGAAATTTATTGTCACATGTAAATGTCTTGCTTTTGTTATTTTTTTACTATAACTTAATTTTTTTATGAGTTATTTCTTTGATTTTTTTTATGGTTATTTTTCTAACCAGAGCATGTAGCCTATAATATTTGTTATAATTAGAGAACAAAACACACTCCTTGACCTAATAGTTGTTTCTGGCCCACATGAAATTTTACATCATGGGCAGCTTCCCGTTCCAGCAGTATCCCTACTGTGTGTATTCAGTTAAAAAGCTCCTAAGCCCAAGACAAAATTTGTTTAGTATAGAAAGTTAAGAATATGAATGAGGCACAGTTTATTTTAGACGTACAGCAAATACCATTGCACACCATTGAAAATCTTGCCTCTGTTGACTTAATGGTTAATGAACGTAATACTTACCATACATGATCTCCTTAATAAACACACAACTATAATCCCTGTTCCGCTGATAACGCCTGAAATCAGCTCTTTAATGGCCAGACACGACTGTCTTTATCGGAGAGAAAGATGTTCCCAAGATCAAATTGAATTGGATGAGTATCGCCGTCTACGTAATAGCATAGATAAAACATACTCCCTTAGTAGATTTGTCATCCTTATGGAACAGCTGAAGCCAATTTTATTGTTTAGTTCTGTACGTCCAACTGTAGAGTTCTTGTTTTGTTTACAATTTGTTTCTTGTTGTTTCAGTCATTTAAAACCTCATTTAAATAAATAAAACGATATGATCATAAACAATAACTGAACTCCTAGTTTTATAACCAAATAGTAAAGCACAAATCATGAAAATAACCCTAAAATAATAGAAACAAAATTTCTTCTACCCCAGCAATCAGTGTGGACGTACATGAACTAGACTCGAAAAACAAGCTTCAAAATTTACAATGGGATGAAGAGTCGACTTGTGTTGCTTAATCTATGGTAATAGAGTCAAACAACTGCTTAGAAACTAAAAAATAAGATCACAAACTTTTTGGAGATAAAAATCAGTCATCCAGAGTTTTATGGTACAATGTAAAAAGTTCACAAACATCATTGTGGCACAATGTAACAGGCTTGGGAAGCAAACTGATACACAACCAGTTAATACATCTCTAATTAAATACAATTTTATTTCTTCATATAGGCTAGTCAAATTATCTATCAACCAACAACAAGTTAATAACTACATTAATGAGTTGGTTAACTCATTTGGACCAAGGATTGGAACCTTAAATGTTTTAAGGACTACTCGCTAGATTTGTAGCAATTCTGTCGGATCTGACGGGACGCCAATACAATTCATCAAAGATACGCTTTTTGCCATTCTTCCTACTATTAATTACCTAATACATATTTACAACTTTTCTTTGAGGCAAAGATTAATTTCCATCTTCTTAGAAGTCTGCCCTTATTTGGCCATTAAATAAGGTCACAGCAGCAACATCCTGTCAGGATTTCAGGAAGATCAGCATATTGCCCGCTGTATCTAAAGGCCTTGAAATAATTGTAACTGTCAATTACTGAATTTCTGACTGGCAATAATATCCTCTCTCACTATCAATCTAGTTTTCATAAAGGTCACAGTACAGAAACAGCACTTCTTCGAGAGCTAACATTAGACTTTCAATGGAGCATCGACAGGGTACTATTCTGACCTTATTTGATTTTTCTTAAGCATTCGATTGTGATAGTGTTCTTGAATGGCTGAGATCATATCCGTCAGATAGGCGGCAGTGTGTTAAGGTTGATCAGACTGGGAGACAGTTATGTGGTGTGCCTCAAGGGTCAATCCTTTGGCCTCTGCTATTTGTACTGTACATAAATGACATAGGCACAGTTCTCACCTGCTGTAAACCACATGTTCGCTGACGGCCTACAAATTTACTCTCACTTCAATGCCAATGACATTAACGATTGTGTTTCAAACATTAACAAAGACGTTAGACAAATCATTGAATGGACCGAAAAACATGGAGTCAAAATCAATTAGGACAAAACCGAACCCATCATAATCTGCCATCAACGACTGCAGGGATCAAATGACTTTTAGGCCACAAACCCAATCACTGTTAACGGATTTGAACTACCAAACTGTGACAAGGTGAAATATTTAGGACTGACTCTCAACACTACACTCACTAGGGGAGATGCTGTTATTGACATTCGTAAAAGGGTGTTCTCATTAATACATTCACTAAAGAAATTACAAACTCTCTTGCCATTGCAAATAAAGTTACAAACATTGATAGTGTATTAAATATGTCATAAAATTTTATTTTAATTTTTTTAACACATAATTTAATATTGAAGTTTGATCTATAAAAATTAATAATACATATTTTTTTATTTGTTATTGAGAGTGGTAAACTTATAAACTTTGCATTAAATGTAATTGTAATTTCTTATGAAGCTATACATTAATAAGCCTTTATTTAGGTAAAAGCAATGTGGGATACCTATAGGACGATTTAGTTAGGGCTTTTTATAAGTAAAAATTTAATTCATACAAAAATAACAACTTTTAAGGACCCAATATTTTGTTTCATATTTTTAGATTTCTAGTCATTTGTACAAACAAATATTAAATTGATGAACCTTTTGTATTACGGTATTTAAGTTCATCATACATAACTTACTCGGCATCAAATGAAATTTTTAGCTTTATCAAATTTAGTTTTTGACTTTCACGTTTGATAACAATGTTCATACACTCAAAACCCCACTTGTGTTGTTATACCATTTGAAAGATAATTTTATCATCTTTCCAGTGATATAGTTTTATTGGTTTATCTGGAGAGAGATTTTTGATATCAAACCTTTTGTTAACTGAATGTTCTGATTTCGGAAAAATCAAATTATTTGTAACTTATTTAGGAATTTTTTTAAGGTGTGATAATAGGTAATAAGGTAGGCCTAGTTATCATTTTAATTGTATTATATGATTCTGCATTAAATTTTGGATATAGCCTATGAGTCAAATTTGAGGCCTCTAGCTTAATAATTGTCCATTCTACATAGAAAGACGAGAATACAAGCACGCTCCCTTAGCGTCAAATTGGACCTCGGAAACTAAATTCGCTCAAAATTTCAAATAGCCATAACTCATCTCTGAAACCGTTTGACATAATGAACTGAAATTTTGGATTTTATCCTATCTAACTTAGGCCTAAATGTCTAAATTATGTGTACAAATTTTCATGAAAATCTGTGACTAGTGGGTGACAACCCCTGGATGACTTGACATGGAATGGCCCTTAGGAGAAATTGATGTTAGGCCTATATTTGTACAATGACTAACTTAATCTTATGGAAAAAGAATACAGTAGGTCAGTCCTACTGTAGATTGAATGATTTTAAAGTTTTAGGCTATTAAGTTTTCACAACAGACTGTTAGGCCTAAGTATTTAATTTATCCTACTATAGGCCTAACCTATAACTGAACTCAAGAACTTACCCGAAATCCTTTTTCCTTGTCCATTTTAAGCTCAGAGTCGAACATTTTTAATGTTCCACTAAAACCCCGATAGAGTAAATATTCTCTAATCAGTTCATCAACATATTGTATTTGGCTCATCTTGCTAGGCCTAGGCCTACTTCTTCACTCCATAAATGGAATTATAACTTACAGCCTTGATTAGCCTAATACCTATGACAGAGGAATGATTTACAAAAAAAATCCTATGAAAGGAAATTTTGACCTGTCTATATGCCACTATTCCATGATAAATAAGTTAGTTTCAGTTTGTTTAAAGCTTGGGATAAGTTATAGAAAACCAATTATTTTAAGTTATAGGCCTATTCAACTTTTCTCTGTGATAAACAAACATTTAACTTAGTGTAGCTTAAGCTTAATCAATTTGTCATTACAGTTTGGTCTTAAACAACACCTTCACAGTCTGAAGATGAAATAAAACATAGTTGTTGAAAGCACTTGTGAAATTAAAAATAGGCCTAACTATTAAAATTATTGGTCTTTAGTACTACTACATCAATTTGCCAATAGGCCTACGTATCTCCAATCTTCTGACACCTACAAATATTATTTTTGCGTTTAAGTTACCACCCTCAAATAGGCAAATTAACTTAACATTATTAAAATTTAAATAATTGTACAGCACTGTAAACAGAATGATAACAAAACAATTTCATTTTAAGTGACGAGACGACGACGACAGACAAGACAGTGTGTCCACAGGGGTACCACATTTTGGTACTAAATTTCCCTGAAAAATTTACAAGATTCCCTACTGTAGGTACAAGATCTCACAAAAGATATTAATATAATATAATATAATATTACTATATTATATAATATAGTAATGCTACTTTTTGGCTCTCTGTCTGTGTTATACCAGAGAATAACGTTTTTTTAGTGTGGCCTTGGAATAACCAAAGTTTTTTTGACGTTTTTATCCTTGTTGTGGTGGCACCTTGACACGCTTCCATAGAAATACAACCATTAAATTAATCAGGTCTCCTCTCACCTTCACTTTTTAACATAAAACTTATAGTTCTAATTTTTTGATAGAGAGGAACGCCCTTTTGATAAATTTGACTTTAATCTCAGAAGTGAACACCTACTAGTTATATTCTGACTTTAAATGCAGAATTCTGACTTTTTTCATAACACAAGTAGACTTCCCATCACATTGTAAACTTTGAAGCTCGTTTTTCGTGTCTAGTTCATGTCCGGTGACACTGACCGCTAGTATCGTCGAAATTCCGTTTCTATTATTTTATTTTAGGGTTGATTTCATTATTTGCGCTATACTGTGTGACTATATAACTAGGAGACAAGCTATTGTTTATGATAAGATCGTTTTTTTTTATTGTTAAACGAAGTTTTAAAAGAAACTAACTGGAATAACAAGAAAAAATTATAAACAAAACATCACCTCTATACAGTATGATACAGTTCACCGGGCAGAAATAACAATAAAATTGGCTTCAGCTGTTCCATAAGAATGAAAAATCCACTAAGGAAGGCAGTACATTATTGCTTTATTCATGTATTTTATTTAAGCCGGTAATTAATTTATTTTTATAAAATTACATAGTATGGTCTTTACAATTCAACCAAGAGATGAAAATCCGGAGTTACCAACTGTTATTTATAAACTTTAAAATCCCCCAAACTGCATGTATTTTTCAATTTATATAAAAACAGATTTTGAGGGAAAATGTACAAGATTCAGTGAACAATGTACTAGGGTACAAGAAAATATCAAAATGTACTAGATCTTGTACATTTGTACAAGCTGTGGACACACTGAGTCGACAGATGTGGTGTTGAACGAGACCGTTCATGGAGGACCAAAACCCCCCACCACCGCGTCAGGGACAGCAGAATTGGTATCGGGTATCGGAACGACGATCGTGAAGACCATCGCCAGCTGTCGCCACATGTTTCCCCATCCCACAACCACTTCCCCTCCTTTGACACTCGACCAATCAGATACTGAATCGCATGGAGATGTACAGTCGCTGCAACCAAAAAGTAGACCTCAATTATTCATATTCATTTAATATTCAGAACGACGATCGTGAACGGAACACGGAACATCCGAACTGCACACGTCAAATTGTTGTTGTTATCACTGCCGTCTTCTGTCAAAACGTCAACGTCCTTGTTTACATGTTTAAAGGGATGTCCTTGCTTAAAGGGATGTCCTTGTTTAAAGGGATGGGCATTTTTACAGTTCATGCCTTATATATTTTTGAAACAATTAAATATTTTTTAAATATTGCTGAGACTCAAGAATTGCCTGTGCATAATTATAATACAAGGGGTAAAAATTATTTAGCTAAAGAAAAATCAAGACTTGAACGTTTTAAAAATAAACCTTCTTATATTGGAAACTATTTTTTTATAAAACTTCCTAGCTTTTTAAAAAACGAAAAAGACAAATCTAAATTTATCAAAAAACTGAAGGCATTCTTACTTGACCATGCACCTTACAAAATAGAAGATTATAGTAATTTCAATTTAAAATAATGTAGCCTATAGTATTTTGTTTAAATGTTTCTTAGTGCTAATTTAGGTAGTAAGTAACAATAGACACTATTCATGTACGAAAATTTGTACTGTGTGAATAAATACTCTTCTTTGAATCTTGACATTATGAAACAGGGCCCTGCTGGATAATTCAATTGCTGTTGATATTTTATTTCTGCAATGTAACGATTTACTGATTTAATGGAAATTAAATATTTACTATTTAAATTTGGGTTTGCGTACATATTACAAAAGAAAAAATCGAGAAAGCCTACACAATTTGATATATTTCACCACCAAATAAAAAATGAATAGACACAGTGCTGTTGTATTTCTTGAGCAATCCTTGAAAGAACCGATTTTCAAACTATATTGAAACATAGAAAAGTCATAGAACGCCACCAATTAGAAGAAATGGGGATAGTTTTTAGGTCATTAAGTTTATTTTAGGTTATTAGCCTATAATAAAGGAAAGTCCCCAAGATGATTCATATACAAACGGCGAAGAATGTTAGCCGCGAAGGGAAACAGCAGAAACCTCTACTGTATTAACTTTGTGATGATTGCAGCGGAAACTCCTCTTAGGCTAAGTAAAATTTGTACAACAAGAACATTAAAAATATGTTTTCTTTTTTATCAAAGTCAAGTGGTTTTAGAATTACTACATATACTACACCCAAGAAACTTTTCCTTTTTTTATCAAACTTTCATTGAAGCGTTCAATTATTATTCACAGTTAAGGGAAACAAAAATCATCTGAACAACATCAGGCCTTTTAACTCTACATTTTCTCAGGTAAATACGATTGACGTTATTACAACAACTAATTGTGGCAGACAGGTTATGCAGGAAAGAGGAATTCAGGTATTTCTTTAGTAATAATGTGAACAAATCAACAAATTATACTGTGTTATTTAAGTCAAAAAGTAAAATAATTATTTTGTAAAGATATACTGGCAGCAATGACGAATATAATGATGAACAATCTCATTCGGCTGAGTGGAAAATATTTGTAGAAAACACTAAATAATAGCCTTTGGAAAATTATAAAATAGTGGGTATTTCCACTACCCAGATAGCACAGGATGTTTTAAATTTTTTTTTTCTTTAAAGTATATTTTAAAAATGCATCCTATTCCACCCCTAATGTATCTTAAAAATATTTTAATAAAATATTTTGTATTAATATTTTAATAAAATATTTTGTATTAATATTTTAATAAAATATTTTGTATTAATATTTTAATAAAATATTTTGTATTAATATTTTATAAATGTTATTACAAAATATTATTTAAAAAGGGGATTTAAATATTTTAAATAAAGATTTAGTATGAAAAGCATCATTATTAGTTGAGTAAATTGATTCAAGTTCATAAAAACAAATTTTGATAAAAAAACTAGAACAAAATTTGTTTTGCCAGGACAGGTGGTCTTGAACCTGGTACCTGTTTGTGTTGAGAGCCTCTTACCCTACCTCTGAGCTACCTGTGCTTGTTGATATTGAGAGTTTTCAAGGGGTCAAAGAGTAGCCGACAGTTGCAATAGACGCAATACTTAAAATATTTTTGATACTACAGGTTAATCTGTTTAGGCATCAAGTAGTTGAATTGTTTTTCTGGGAGTTTGATAGGATACTGGTATTTGAATATACAGTGTGTAAAAAATGTCTCCCCCCCCCCTATTTATTTTTTTTATTTTTTAAAATAATGAAATATCGTTTGGGGAGTGATAGTAACATAACGTGAAGTTTCTTTTGACATAGTTAAAATTTTTGAATTCCCCCCCTAAATGGGGGGTAAGGGGGGTAACTCAAAATTTTTAAATGTAAACCCCTAGCTTGTGACACCTCATTTGAAAGAGCATTAAAAAACTAGGTAAATGGTGAAAACTAGAAATTTCTATCTAATTTCTAACCGGAATTACAGCCAAAAACGCTCAAAATTACAATATTTTTGGGAAACTCAAAATTGTAATTATTGCATACACCCTTTGAGTGACCCCTCATTTGAAAGAGCAATAAAAATCAGGCTTATGTTATTAAATTAAAAAACTGTTACTTCCTACAGCCAAAAATTTCTACAGCTAATAAATTATTATTTTAATAAAATCTTTTATTTCTTTATTATTGCAAAAGTGCAAAATAACATCTTTTGAAAAAAAGTGAAAATGAAATGTATTGGTTATCCACAACAGAGCAAGTACAAACTAAAAATTTAAGGTTATTACAATAAGAAATTTTCGTGAACATGAGTTTGTTTCATTAGATGACCTTTGCTCAGCCGGTTTTCCCTGTTTGCCCTGGCATGGGTTTCCTCAACTCATTCTGTCAATGAGCTGTTACAGACAGGTCTAGGTCAGTACTGCAGCATAAATTCAATTTTTAATAATAACAATTATGTAACTATTTGATAACTGTAAAGACTTTTTTGTTCATTAAAATTCTCTAAGGTTAATAATTAATTGTTAGTTTGTTGCTATTTAGTTAGTCAGGTTTTTTAATTTAGTTTCTTTATTCAATAGTTAGTTTTTTGTTAAAAGTTTATTAGAAATTTTTAATAATGGCTCGAAGCAAAGACGATAAGGTGGAAATGGTTTTAACTTTTAGTGCCTCGAATGAAAACTACCACGAGACAGAAAGGAGATTCAACGAAGCACATCCTGATCGACCAGTGTGTCGAAAATATTTGAGGGAACTAATTGGCAAGTTCAGACGAACTGGATCCGTAGCTAATGCTCCAAAATCAGGCCGAACATCTTTAGACGAAGAAACACAATTTGAAGTTGTGGCAGAATTTGTAGAGGATCCTCAGCAGTCGACTCGATCAGTTGCTACACTGTGTGACTTATCCCATCAAACAGTTCGAAATATTTTAAAGAAAAATAAATTTCACGCTTATAAATTTAAACTTGTCCATGCATTAAACGACGATGATCCAGACCGTCGACTTCAATTTTGCGAAGAAATGGAAGAACTAATCAAAGCTAATCCACATTTCGTGTATAATGTAGCTTTTTCAGACGAATGCACTTTTTTTGTTAATGGAACTGTCAATAAACATAACTGCAGATACTGGGATACTGCAAACCCCCATGTTTACCGAGAATCCTCAACGCAGTACCCAGAAAAATTAAATGTATGGGCTGGGATGTTGGGTAATCATATCCTAGGACCATTTTTCATCGATGGCAACCTCAATGGAGAACATTATTTGCAAATGCTTCAAGAGTCGGTTTTTCCAGCCATAGTGGAAGTTATTGCACAACATCCACATGAGTTTGATGAAGATATTGTTCACTTCCAGCAGGATGGCGCTCCCCCTCATTTTCATCGACAGGTCCGAGCATTTCTAAATACACAACTGAATGGTCAGTGGATTGGCAGGCGTGGCCGGATAGAATGGCCAGCACGGTCCCCCGATCTAACACCTTTGGATTTTTTTCCATGGGGGTTTATTAAATCGACAATTTATAAAACTCCCGTACAGAATATTGAAGACTTGAGACACAGGATTGTTGAAGCCTGCAGAAAAATCACTGAGGAAACATTCCATAACGTGAGGGAAGAGTTCACGTCTCGTTTATTTTACTGTCAGGAAGTAGGAGGACTTCAGTTTGAACATTTGCTGTGAATTTATTTGGTGATTACAACATCGCTACTGTTATTTCGCACTTAAGGTTAGTTTGTTTGTAAAAATCATAAAAAACCATCTAATTACCTGTTAGAAATTATTAATCCTTATCATTGGCCTGATTTTTATTTATCTTTCAAATGAGGGATCACTCAAAGGGTGTATGCAATAATTACATTTTTGAGTTTCCCAAAAATATCGTATTTTGAGCGTTTTTGGCTGTAATTCCGGTTAGAAATTAGATAGAAATTTCTAGTTTTCACCATTTACCAAGTTTTTTAATGCTCTTTCAAATGAGGTGTCACAAGCTAGGGGTTTACATTTAAAAATTTTGAGTTACCCCCCTTACCCCCCATTTAGGGGGGGAATTCAAAAATTTTAACTATGTCAAAAGAAACTTCACGTTTATGTTACTATCACTCCCCAAACGATATTTCATTATTTTAAAAAATAAAAAAAATAAATAGGGGGGGGGAGACATTTTTTACACACTGTAGATTATTTAATTACCATTAGAATAGTAATGTTATTATAATTGATTCCTATAAGATTAATTAATCTTTCCCCTTAAATTGTTCAACTATTAAAAATTAGCTCAAATAAGTCAAAGAATATTAATTTTTTAAAAAATGCATTATTATAATTGTAATATTTTAAGCAGGCGTTCCCCAAGGCTATTAAAAAGAAAAAGAGGTTGCCTCAGTCGCGCGTATGACGTCACCCGCCGACCCGGACGGTGCTGCTTTTAATTCACACAGCTGTCACCTGTCAAGTACTTTGTTATTGTTGTTTGTTTTTCATTTATTTATTTGTAAACAGATCCGGGCGTTCCCCACTGTATCTAGTATCACAACATCATCTGACTACATTTATTATAGATCCAATTTACTATGGATCCCAACCGTGCCGATCATTTCCCAACGTTGGGCCAACAATAACAATGTGTTCTACTTGGGCGGACATCCGGTATGTTAAAAGTTTACTTTTATGAGATAGTCTAAAAATTTTGTTTAAATGTTTGGGGAAAAAAAGAAATTATTTTTGGAGTGATTTTAAGATATCTTTAATACACGGTACGTGCGATAGGCTACTTGAATTATTTTTAAAAATGTTTTTGTCATGGCCCTAAAACAATTCTTTAAGGAAAAAGAGATTTGTTGTCAAAATATATTTTTTAAATGTGTGAGAAATATATTTTACCCAGCTCGGTTGAAACAAATTACCAAAATATATTTTAAAAACTTAAACAGGCTATTTAGAAAATATTTCTATAATATTCTTTAAAAATATTCCTAAAAGCTATATTTTTTGGCAAATAAAATATATCTTTTACTAAATTATTTTGTCTTAATATATTAAAAATATTTTTAAATATATTCAACTGAAAAATTAATACCCCCGCCGCAGCAAACCTGCAGACTTAGCGAATTTCCATTTTTCTGATTGGATTTAAACTAAAATGTCTCCTTAAAAATATCACATTTATTCCCTATTTAAACAGAATTAGTTTAATGAGTATTTAGGTTTGCTGCAACAGGGAGGGTAAAAAAGTTTTTTTTTCATGTAAAATGTTACAAGGTACTGTGGTTTAGTAAGAAATTAATGTATTTTCCAAATTTGATCAAAATATGTTCATAAACAAGCAAACTACAACAGTTGACTTATTCTCCATATGAATAACATGGGAATTTTTAAATTACAATTTTTTTGAATCTTCTCCGTAACAATTAGGTGCATAATAACGCTTCAATATACTAAATTATTTGTTTTTTTAAGCTCTACAAAATGGTTTAAAAAGAAATTGTAAATTTTTTTGTTAGGGTAAAAAATGGGAAAAACCTATTTTTACCCCGTAAAACCCCCCATAAACCCCCGTTCCCATAGTCCGATCATGCTGGTTCGCGAACTCATTCAAGTTTATCCCGCCTTACACCTTCAAACCAAATTTTATCAAAATCGGACAAAAATTACTCAAGTTATCGTGCGGATGGACACACACACATATATATATATATATATTATATATATCTATATATAGATATATAAAAATTTGAACGAATGGTGTTTTTGGCCTCTGGGGACATCAAAATGAAAAAGTAAATCGGTCCCGGGCTTAGGTCTTACCATGAGACCTACGGTAATAGCTACTTCCCTATAGGGAAATTCGCTTTTATAAAATATTTACAAAGTATATTTTTAAGACCATTAACAAATATTTTTAAAATATTTTAAAACTATTATGTTAACATATTATGATGTTATTAAAAAAAAAATATATATATATATTTTAAAAATAATATTAAAATATATAAAATATTTTTAAGATGGATATATATTTTAAAAATATTTATAAAATATCCTTGTGCTGTCTGAGTTACATAATCTTTGAGTTGACGCTTAACTCATCGGAAATAATTGTGTCCGTTATTAGTTTTTAAATAACTCCTGAAAAAATACTTTGGTTCAATGAGCAACTATAGTTTAACATTAAAGAAACTACTTTGTTCCTATCGAATCGACTATTAGTTTCTGACTGGAGTCTAAAACCTTCGCTGTAACGAGACCTTACCGTCAGACTGCCACCGCGCCGTGCAGAACGCATCATACCGTGCATAGCCGAACTGGAACTGTTTATGGGAAATTGTTATCTCTATCACTGTCGCTGTCAAAACGTGTCGTTTGTAGGTTAAATTTAAATTAATTTAACTGTCATAACCTAACCAAACTAACCAAACTTGCTGATAATGAAAATTTCGAATGAAGGTTTACTAATAACAAAAATAGTTCTGTTCATAAAATAAAATTATAAATGTCTCAAAATCAATTATATAATTTTTTAATTATTAAATTAAACTATCATAACCTAACCAAACCAACCAAACTTGCTGATAATGAAAAAAATCGAGTCAAAAAGTTTATACCTCCGGTGGGTTTCGAACCGGCTACCTCCGATTTATTAGCCCGGTGCACTATCCACCATCGATGTATATAACCTAACCTAATGTTAGGTTATATACATCGATGCTATCCACTACACCACCGAGACCTACGCCAGATAGACGTATCGTTGCGGTAATGGTGTTCGCTCGAGCAGTGGTGGGTGGTGGTGGGCGGTGGCGGTCTGTCGGCAAGGGTAAATTTCGTACGATCGTCGCGATGTTGTCCCCTGGCGCTGCGGAATGGGGAAATGATTCTCCCTCCCGCACAATTTTTACTTTCTCCCCCTATACCAAAGTATATGGAGAAAGTATTGTTTTCGTCAACATTTTCGAGTTTGAGTTTTGAGTGGATATATTCGTTTTGGGTCCCCCTGGACCCAAAAAAGTGGTTTTTGAAGTGATGTCTGTGTGTGTGTGTGTGTGTCTGGATGTGTACAGAGCTAGAGACTACACCTGCTGTGGTCCGATTTTGCTGAAATTTGGTATGTAGGTTCTAATCCATGCTATCTCCAGGCGTTTTTTTTTCATTTTTTAGCAATTTTGATATTTAATGGGGATTCTCCCATAAAAACCATAAAAAACCGGAAAAATCGAATTTTCTCAAAAATGGCCCGAACGATTTTGATAAAAATTTAGTATAGTGTAGCCCTTTAAATTCTGAACAAACTGGTAAAAATTCAATTTCTCTAAAAATTACGGTTCAAAAGTTATGGTAAATTATGTTATTTTCCCATAAAAACCCCATAAAATAACGAAAAATTGGATTTTAGAAAAAAAATCCGGTTTTTATTCAACAGAGTATGTTATAGTCCATACAATTTTGATAATTTTTCATTTTTTATAAATTTTGATTTTTAATGGGGATTTTCCCATAAACCCCATAAAATAACGGAAAAAAGATTTTTCCAAAAATGGCCCGAACGATTTTGATAAAAATGTAGTATGTTATAGTCCTTTATATTCTGAACAAAATTGTACAAATCCCATTTCCGTACTCTCACCGCTTACACATGATAAAGGTTGTTGACAAACTTATGGGAGAAAGTATATGTGTCAGAATGCTGATACCGTTTATTATTTCAGCTGCAGTTTTTTAATACGGACAAAATGAGAGCATTCTATTGGCTGAAGGAACACCATTACCGCAACGATACGGTGTTTGAGCCATCGTCCTCGGTGGTCAAATGGATAACGTGCCAGGTAAGTAAAGTAACTGAAGGTACCAAGTTCGAATCCTATCGGTGGCATCAACTTTTTGTCTATGATTTTTGCATTACAGCAAGTTTGGTTAGGTTATGACAGGTCGCCATTTAATAAGAAAGTATTAAAGTAAAGTTTAATTTTATAATTAAAATATTATAAAATTGAATTTAAGCTAAACTTATATTATATCTTTAGAACTATTTTTTTCTATTAGTAAACCTTCATTCGATTTTTTTCATTATTAGCAAGTTTGGTTAGTTAGTTTAGGTTATGACAGTTTAATTAAGAAATTATAAAATTAAATTTGAGGCATTTATAATTTTATTTTATGGATAGAACTATTTTTTTCGGTTAAACCCTCATTCCATTTTTATTTTATATAATCAGCAAGTTTGGTTGGTTAGGTTAGTTTATGAAAGTTTAATTGTGAAGGCCATATTAAAATAATTAAAAATTATTTAAAAATTCTAAAATTAATTTTATAAATTTCAATTTTTTAACTCTCATTTTGCCCTTATTGAAAAACTGCAGCATAGGTTATGTATGTAAAACAAAAACAACGTGGGCTTGTTTGGACGCCGTCTAGAGGGGAGGTGGAGGGAGAATCATTTCCCCCACTCCGTGGTGCCAGGGGACAACATCGCGATGATACACCCATCGATATATCATGCGACTCTAGTCCCTCGAGGACATCTTCAATTAACTTATTTACCGCATCAATGGTGGATTTTCCCGGTCTAAATCCATACTGATTCTCTGAGAGAATATTATATTTATCCAAAAAATTTTGTAGCCTCAAAAGAAAAACCCTTTCAAAAATCTTACTCAGAACTGGCGAGATTGCAATTGGGCGGTAGTTGTTTGAAATTTGTGGATCATCTTTTTTGAAAATAGGAATGACTTTTGATGATTTTAATGCAGATGGGAAAGTTCCAGACTGAAGATAAGAGTTAATTAATGTTGTTAATGGGGTTAGAATACGTAAATATACTTGCTTAAGTACCCACACTGATATGTCGTCAATTAGCTGAGAGGTCATGAATGATACGTGCCACCTCGATTTCACTGGTTGGGGATAAAACTAGGGAAGAGACGAGGCTGTGCCAGTGATTTTTATTTGATGGCATTCCTGTTTTTAAGTTTGTATTTCCTTTCCCAACAGACAGGAAAAATGAGCTAAATTCATTCGCTACAGCCTCTGGGCTACTTGTCAGGTTCCCATTGACATTGAGTGTAATGGGCTTACATTTTTTTTTATTGTTTTTCATGTTGTTTATAATATTCCATGTGGTTTTGGAGATATTCTCTGAATTTATAATTTTTTTGTTTATATTCGCTGCTTTTATAACATTTCTGTAAATTTTCTTGTATTTTTTGAAAACGTTTTAAATTGTTCATTGTTTATTGTTCTATTTATCTTTGAGAAAAATTTTATTTTTGCTCGTGATATAAGAATACCACGAGTAATCCAGTTTTGTTTGTATTTCTTTTGTTTTGTTTGTTTTATTTTAAATAGACAAGTGACATCAAGATGGTAAATCAGTGTTTTGTGAAAACAATCAAAAGCCTCATCGGACGATGATACGCCATCTACAAAATCCCAATTTTCAATGGAAAGATTTCTTTTTAAAAGTGATATATTGCTGGGGCGGAAGTCTCTTTTTGTACTTAATGGATGGGAGATCTAGTTCTGGCAAGAAAGTTCTTATCACAGTTTCTTGTGCAGAGTGATCGGATATAGCTGTTTCAATTACTGTGACAAGGCTGTTGGAAACGTTAGTTACAACATTATCAATTGCGGTTTTGGATGTGGCTGTGACACGAGGTATAAATCTGAAATAGCCTAGTACAAATCGGATCACCGAACTTTTCCCTATAGTCCTGCAGCTGGCTATACTTAAGTGTGCAAATTTGCGTGTATTAAATATTCTTGCATAACTTTTTAGTTTATTGTCTAGGGAGTTTAAAAAAACCTGGGTGTTTACCTCCTACCCCCCCCCCCCCACATTTCCGGCTATGACGTCATCAATATGGCGGCAAAGGCAAAGGATTTCTTTTAAAGTATATATTTTGCATACTATATATCGGATCGGGATAAACTTTTTTTGTTTGAAAGATAAGTTTACATGCTGTCATTATTTCATTTAAACATTTTTTGTATGTTTAGTACATTTATCGTAATTTTGCAAAAACCCGTATTTTTAAATATTTTGTATTACTTTTTTAAATAACGTTTTATTGATACAATATATCAGAAAGAACCTTTGGAAAATGTTGGAGAATGTCTAAAGAGCGTTACAAAAATACCATATTTGATATGCTTTACTCAAAAGATGAAGTCAAGAAACTAGAAACATCGAAACATCTCACAAAAACACCTAATTTGGTGCAAAAACTTATATTAGTCCGACATCTAGGGCTGTGTGCAAGTCATATATATAAAGTTTTACCATTTAATGCTATGTAGGTGTCTAAAGAAGTCTTTTAAACTCTGGTGTCACGTCAGCACACACTGCGTTTTCCTGTTATGACGCCATCAAAATGGCAGACAGTGCTATATTAAAAATAACTATATTTTACATACCATGTATCGGATCGGGATGAACTTTTTTGGTTTGAAAGATAAGTTTACAGGCTATCTTTCTTACAGTTAAACATTTGTTGTATGATTAGAGTACCGGTACATTTTTCATAATTTTGCAAAAACCCGTATTTTTAAATATTTTTGTGTTATTTTTGTTACTAACGTTTTATTGATACAATATATCAGAAACAACCTATGGAAAAGGTTGTAAACCGTTTAAAGAGCTTTACAAAAATACCATATTTGATATGCTTTACTCAAAAGATAAAGTCAAGAAACTAGAAAAATCTCACAAATACACCTAATTTTGTGCAAAAACACAGATTCATCCGACATCTAGGGCTGTGTGCAAGTCATATAAAGAAAGTTTTACCATTGAATGTTGATGGGACTTTGGTGCGGGAGGGACTGGTTCGATTCCTGGCACATCCACAAAACTTTAATGGGTTTGGACCGCTTTCCCTTAAAAGCGTTTGAGTTAACTTTAATAAAAATACACTGGTGTAGACACAAAAAAAAGTACTAGTTATACATTACAGAGATCAGTTGTGTAGTCCTAAATTTCCCAGTGTCACCCACACTTCCCCTATTAAAATATAGGATCTTGGAAACACAGTGTGGGAAAAGCGATCCGCTCCACTCAACCATGGAGGTAATTTATACTTTTATATAAAGGTAAACACAATTAATTGTTGAAACCATTATGTGTTTCGAAAGTGTTTTTCTTCTCTACTCGCAATTGAAACAGTACAGTAGAAAAATATTTAAAAAATACTGTTCATTGTAAATACAGCACAAGAAAATATGTTTATGTTTAAGTCTAGTGCCATAGCCTAATATTTTTAGGGACAGGTTTTCACCCAAAAGCACAATATAATTATATTAAACAAGTTTTAATTTGTGACAATGAATAGTTTATACAGTGATGAAGCATTGCTTATTGTAGAGCCAGTAAGTGACAGCTACCCACAGTGCTGTCCCCCACAGTGCTTCAGCCATCAACAAGAAGTGAGTGTTCATGGGCTGCAACCACCAATGCCAAGGGAACATCTGATAGCATACTGTGTGTCCCACATACAGGAAAATAGAGTTCATACCTGCACATAATTGGGCATATGTATATAAAATATTGAAATATGCATAGTAAATAGAGTAAATACTGCAAGTAACACTATAGGCTATGCAAGATAAATGTAGCACCCATAAGCTCAGATAGACCTAAATCAGATCAGATAGACCTTAAATTAGACCAAATTTTTTAAATCGCTAAAATAGTGTATATATATATATATAATAGTACCAGTACTATATGTATTTATCATATATAGTACCGGTAATACTAGGTGAAACCCGTCGAAATCGACGGTTACTTTCAAGGCTTACGTTAATTCATCTAACTGTGATAAATTGGGTGAAATATACATATTTTGAGCATTTAACATTGTTTAAAGGGTAATAAGTGTAAAAACAATAATGATTTTAATTGCGGTAGTTGCCAAATTTGGTTGATCATTCAATGGTAAAATATTTCCCATACCGTACGTCATCGGACTCATCGGAGTTATTATTAGTATGTTATATGATATCTCTTCCTTTGTAGTTAAACACTTCTGTGATTTCATCAGTGTAATATGATTTTATTTTAAAAGAAAATATTTTTTGGGAAGACATATTCTAACTTCAAAGGAAGGTATATCCGTTACAGTTTAAGTTTGATTTTTCCTTCGTCACGTCGCGTCAGTTCATATCGTACTTCTGTGCCAATGAATGAACCCTCTAGCAAAGTTATGAGAAATTGATTGTGGGGTTACTATTAAAGCTGGAATTCCTTGACATGGGGGATGTCAGTTAGTTGTCTCAGCCTTATCAATTTATTTATTGATTTTTACAATTTTTACATTGTGTAGCATTTTTACATTGTGTGATTCTAATATTTATAATTACATAGAGGTTATTTTATAAAATTACACTTTAAATTAAATTTAACTTTAAACAAATAAATCAATACATTTAAGAAATGGAGGAAAACTAAAAAACATTATACATTTATCAAGAAAACCTTAAAATATTTAACTCATAACCCCTGGAGAATATAATACTGTGGCCCTTAACTCCAACGGTGTGCAGTGAACTCATCAACCGAATAGAATGCCTGATTTTTTAAGTCACGCTTCAGTTTCGTTTTGAATAGAAGGGAACTTTCCAGACTTTTAAGCCTTTCAGGAAGACAGTTAAGGAGCCTGACACCTACTTGAGAAGGAAGTTTCTCAAATGCAGCTGTTCGGTGTTGGACAGTGCAAAAACTTTCCCTTGCTCTAGTCCCGTGGCTGTGCACAGCAGTGCCTTGGATAGGCACATGTTGAAACCGGCAGTATACAGCCGTTTCCAACATAACAGGGAAGGTAGGGTCAAAATTCCAAGCTCCCTGAAAGCTTGTCTACACGACTCTCTCCGCCTCAGATTTGCAATTAATCTGATGGATCTTTTTTGAAGCCTAAATGCCCTGTTAAAATTTTGTCTGGCACAACCCCCCCACAATCTTAATCCGTAGGAAAGATGGGGATGAATGAGGCCATAATAGGCCATGACCAAAACTTGTGTTGAACATAAAGGCTTGAGATTACGCAAGGCAAAAACCCCTTTTGCAATTTTTGGACAGATGCTATCTACGTGATCTTGCCAGTTCAGCACTCTACCCAAGTGCATCCCAAAGAACTTTGTGGAATCAACCTCTTTCAGGCAGGTTTCATCCATCATTACAGTTGGCGTTGTCTCGTCGTCATGGTGACGAAGGGGAAAATTTATGTACGTCGTTTTTGACTGATTCGTGTTTAAATTTTCGGACTGAAACTTTTGGATGCATGCGTTCAAATTGATAAAACTTTCAATTTCAAGACTTTCTTGGGATTCTGATTGAAAATAGAGAGTCGTGTCAACTGCATATGACTTTTCCGCCAACCATAGAGGAGCGGAGGTCATTAACATGAATTAAGAACAAAACTGGACCAAGGATTGAACCCTGTGGGACCCCTTGACAGACCCTTAAGGTCTTTGATCTGCAAGTCGACACCTGTACGTACTGGGTCCTACCCTCGAGGCAAGATCTAAGCCACATATGGGACTCCACGGATGCCGCAGAGCTCCAGTTTCCTTAACAGTATGTCGTGATCAACACAATCAAACGCCTTTGAAAGATCGATGAAGACACCAAGTGTCTTTTTTCGATTCTCTAGTCCTTCAATGACATCTTCAATAAATTTATTTACAGCGTCTATCATGGATTTTCCTTGTCTAAATCCATATTGATTTTCTGAGATAATATTATGTTTTTCCAAAAAGTTTTGAAGCCTATTGAGAAAGATCCTCTCAAATATTTTACTCATAACTGGTAAGATTGAGATTGGGCGGTAATTATTTAAAATTTGTGGATCATCTTTTTTATATATTGGAATGACTTTTGAAATTTTCAATGCAGATGGGAAAGTTCCTGACTGAAGTGACAGATTGATGAGTTTTGTCAATGGGATCAGTATTGGCAGATAAATTTGCTTAACTGTCCACATTGACATGCCATTAATATCGTCAGATTTTTTTGATGGAAGATCATGAATGACACGTGCAACCTCAATCTCACTGGCAGGAGCTAAAATCATTGATGATACCGGAGTGGGCCAGAAATGACTGTTAAGAGGTGTTGGGTTTTGTTTTAAGTTACATTCGCCAACTGACTGGAAAAAAATATTGAAAGCATTAGCAACATCCTCTGGGTTATTCACAAGGTTTCCATTGACGTTTAGTGCAATTGGATTGACTTTTTTATCATTTTTTATATTGTTGATAATACTCCATATTGTTTTTGAGACGTTCTCTGATTTTTTTTATTTTCTTATTGATAGCATAAGCCTTTGCTGCTTTAATAACCTTACTATAAATTTGTTTGTATCTTTTAAAAAATATTTTGAATTGATCATCGCTGGTTGTTTTATATATCAGAGAATAAGATTTTATCTTTTGTCGTGAAACCAGAATTCCTTGGGTGATCCAGGAATTGTTTGTATTCTTTATTTTCTTTCTAAACTTTTTTAATGGACAGGCTACATCAAGATTATAAATTAAAACTTCATTAAATGCATTAAAAGCTTCTTCTGTTGATAGAAAACTATCTATAAATGTCCATGTCTCTTTAGTGAGATTTTCATTTAAAAGAGATATATGACTTGGGGACATGTCACGTTTCATACTAATAAAAGGGGGGTCAAGTTCCGGTAAACATCCTCCGATAATCGTCTTCTGAGCAAAGTGGTCAGATATAGCAGTTTCAATTACAGTAACATGACTATTGTCGTTGGTGACGACATTATCAATGGCAGTTTTAGTGGTGGCAGTCACACGGGTAGGTGAGTCCACCGACCATTGGAGTGAATAGGTCATGAGTATGTCCTGAAACTGTTTAGTCACAGGGTCATTTTTGTTCAGGACGTCTATATTAAAGTCCCCTACAAGTATAAATAATTTCTGCTTAGACACTAACTTACATAATAGACTACCAAAATGCTCAAAAAATATCTCTGCCTTACTACTAGGGGATCTATAAATACCTATAATATTGACAATTCCTATTTTACTGAGATTTACTTCAATTCCACTCAATTCAAAATTAAGATCAAAAGCAAATTTATTTAGAGAGAGTGGTTTATATTTTAATCCATTTTTAACAAAAACAGATATTCCACCACCTCTGTGATGTTTGCGTTGATACGACTCAGCTAACTCATAGTCATTAATTTGAAAGAAATCCAAAGTATTATCGGTAAAACCATGCTCAGAGGCGACAAAAACTGGAGGCTTTAGCTCATTTGTTAGAAAAAACAATTCATCTATTTTGTTAGTTGCAATTTGCATATTCTGGTGTAAGATTTTAAATTCTTTAACTGATTGTAAGTATTCCCCAGGGGCGAAAGACATGGCCCTAAAAAATTATTACAAGGATTAACTTGCGAGTTGGTAGTCTCTCCTTCACATCGCTGGGCTGGCACTGCCACGTCCGATCATCCTGAGGAATCTCCAGCGTCATTGCCCGTGGTTGATAACCTTCTTGCTGTGTATCTGAGTGACGTGGGAGACATTTCTGTTGTTGACGAAGTCCGCAGAGGAGAAAACTCGTCCATTGACCGGGTCAAGGTGGTGCTGCAATGTGGTTCTGGAGATGAGGGATGGTCGGGCAAGGTCAGGCTCAGGCCAGGAGTTTGCCAAACTGATGAGGCCGGGGTGGACGCTTGAGATGAACGTTTGGACGATACTTCAGGGTAGACATCAATGACATCAGTAATATCATTAGATATTTTCATGGGAATGGGAGCTCTTTTGTCGACAGATGGAATATCTTTATGTGCTGAATTTGAGATGTCTACTGGAGTCGAAGTCAAACTTGGCGACTGCTTGTTACTTTGTCTTATAAATCTTGTGATCAGATTTCCTAAGCGTTGTTTCCCATGTCGGTTGAGATGGAGTCCGTGCTTTGTATAGTCCGGTCCTAGCTAGATTGCTATTAATATCTTGGTAAGCCAATTTAAGTCCTCCATTGTAACACTTCACTTTTTTTAATATAGAGCAGTTCGTAAAAAATATTTTTTTGTTGAGTGATGGGTTGTCATAACGATAGGGTACACTGTTTATTATTATGTTGGCTTTAAGCATTGACTATATATACCTACAGTAGGTATATATAGTCAATGCTTTAAGTGTAAGCGAAAACAGTGAATTCATCCCCTGAGCAATAGTGAATTGGGCTGGTTCGTTGTGATGTAGGTCATTTGTACCGGCCAGTATTATTATGAAATCATCTTCATTAAAATTTTTCACCATGTTAGATCCGTCATAAATAACATGCTTCATCTTGGCTCCGGATTTAGCATATACAAAGACGTCCTATTCTTCTTCCAACTCCTTTTCCTTTCCGTGACTGTCCGCCAGTATTGTAATCTTCTTTTTCTTCTTGGTGTCTACCGGTGCGGGGTCTGGGGTTCTTTGGTGTTTGTTTTTTGGCACGTCAGAAGGTGATGCTGGTCTATGGACTTGAGCCTGGACGTGGATCAGT